CTTTTCATGGCCAAAAAAAAAAATTAAATGAGATTACAACTGTTCAGGGAAAAGGGACATGAAAAGCTATAAGACCCCTCTGATATCCTTATTTATCCCCAAACATACAAATCACGGTAATGAAAACCATTAAATTCATATAAATTAATTTTCCAAAGATATATGCCTAATGTTTTCTGAGGGTAACATATATTTGTCATTAAAAAGGAAAGACTACTAAGTTATTTGAAAGAGAACATATTGAAAATGAATATATTGAAATATATTGAACATATTGAAAGTGAACATATTCATTATAAAATATATATAATTAGACTTTCTATAGTTTCACATGATGCTATAATATACAACATGTAAATATAAAATATAAATCAAATATAAAATCTATTTTTCTCACTTAATTTCATAAAAATACAGCTATAAAAATACATATTCAATATAACATATAATAGCTATAAACATATTTAAATACTATTATTTTCTACATTTTTAATATTATGGTACTGTAGTTGGAGTGTGTTGGAATCCAGGCCTCTAGTGAGCGCTGTTCCCAGTTTGCAGACAGCTGCTTCCTCTGTGTTCTCACAAGCCCTTTGAAGTTGAGTGTGGGAGAAGTGTTTTTCTTCTAAATCCACCAATCCTTATTCCTTATTATCAACACTAGAAAATACTGTCTATGTAGCCTACTTCACATAAATAAGACCTGCAGTGCCCTTTGCTGTACCTTGTGGCAAGGCAGAAGGGAGCTAGTTCTATTATAGAACAACCAAGGGTAGGTGCCGCATGAGGTGAACCTCCTGCTTCACCTTTACAATTAATGCCACTTTTTCTGGATCCAGGGTCTATTTCTTGTTTCCCTGAATCAGTTGACCCACTACAAATGCCAGCTAGCAAACTATGATACTCTCACATGTAATATTCCCATGGACATTATGAAATATATGCAAATGATTATTTTCAGCAGTCAAAAACCAGTAAAATGTACCAAGGTGAGTTATGAATGAAAACATCACAGATGAGAATTTCAGACTTCTTGAAATTATTCCTAAGAGTGCAACCTATTTCATGTCTTCCTCATGAAAATATCAGGAAGGGATAAATTGAAAGTATGTCTATAAAATACACTCACATTAGAAATGTAGTTAATAATGTAGTTTGCCCAAATAATATAAATATATTATCTAAAATCAGAATTATTTGAATTTACACTGTATTTATGCTTTGTGAAATATACCCAGCAAGCAAGAAGTGTTGGACCAAAGTAATAATTCTGGAATCACATAGTAGACAAAGAGTGATAATTTTTAAAATGTGCCTTTAGGATTTGAAAATGAAATATAATAGAACTCTTTTACTGCAACTCTACTTGCTAATATTAAAGGGAACCAGGACATTAAGTGTTATTGACTGAACTGTGCCCTCCTCCATTCAGTACTGAAGCCTTAACCCCCTAATAGAATGGTTTCAGAAAAGGGGGCTTAGCTTGAGTACAGAAGAGGTCATAGGGGTGGGCCTCTCATGGTGGGATTTGAGGAGGACACAGCAGAGACCCTGCCATCTCTGTCTCACACCACATGCCTGAAAAAAGTAAGGGCCATGTAGTACACAGTGGGAATATATATGGACTCTTTCCAGCCAGGAGCGGGGTCTTAACCAGAACCTGTCAGAACCCCATGGTGTTGACACCCAGCATCCGACGGCCAGCCTTCCCAAGTATGAGGAATTAACTTTCTATTGCCTAAATCAGGCAATTTATGTTTTGTCACAGTAGCCTAGCTGACCAAGACAATATGAAAATAGCTCTCTGTGTCACAGCCCATGGAAAGATACATCCCTGATGCAGGACTTTTATATTTTCCTGGGTGTAGGTACATATTTAGCCCATAATATATAATTTCACTAGGAGACTACAATTTAATCTAGTATCCCAACATCAATAGTTCTTAACTAGGGAGAGTGTTGCCCCCTAGGGAGCACTGACAGTCACTGCAGGGTACGACTGGCACCTAGCGAAGAGTCCTAGGGATGCTTCTCAACATCTACTATGCACAGCACAGCCACCTACCGTGTCAACAATGCTGCTGCTGAGAAATCCTGCTCTGAAAATAAAGAAATAACTGAAAAGGCTGCATTTCAAATTCTCTGTTTTTGCCTGATGCCACCCTACCACTAATAAATATTTTACAACTGAAGTTATCAAGGTGAGGCTAAATAAATAAATAAATATCAATAATTATTAAAAAATTAAAACTTTCTCAGTTATTGAGTATAAAATGTTTGTTGTCATAAATACAGCTAAATGTGTTCTCCTGTGCACATCTAAATACATTTTGTTATGATAACACCAGTAGCCAAGAAATGAGAAACTCATAAGTTAGAGAAACTACACTAGTTCTTTTTAATTGCTTGTAGATTTTTGTTTATTAAATTAAATTTTTATTTTCAATGGTATATGTTTACAGTGCATAATGATTACATTCCTCATGGAGAACTGGTACATATAAATAACACATCATTCCCTTTCCCTTCCCCTCTCTACATTTCTTGGTCCCCTACCCTTTTGCAAAAGATATCTTTATTTCCTATTACCTATATTTTATTTTGCTCCTCATTTATATTTTGGGTTTCTCCTATAAGTGAAACCCTGCAATATTTATGCTTTGGAGTCTGATTTATTCCTCTATGGTCTTAAGGTGCATCTATTTTCCTACAAATGACTCAAATGTTTCCTTTTTTGGCAGTGTAGTATTCCATTTGGTGTACCACTGCTTTTAACCATCTCATCCGTTGATGGATACATAGGCTGCTTACAAGATGTAGCTATTATGGATTGTCCTGATATAAACACTGGTAATTAGCACTTATTAGATGTATGTATATATATATATATACATACATCTAATAAGTAACAGCTAAACAAATTTCTTGAGTTACTTAAAATGTTCAATTTTAGGTAAAGTAAGAATATACAGTTTAATCACCATCATTCCACAAAAGATCACAAATTCTTCCTTGTCAGGATCAGAAGTATTTAAGACCTACATTTCCCATGAATCCAAGTGGTTTGCATTTTCCTATGTGATGTCAACCTTCAAGCATGCTTCAAGTCTGGTTGTAATCCTGTCTTCTTAATTTTAATTGTATTCTTCTCTCTTAAATTCTTAAATCATAACTTACACTACACCCTTTCCTCCTTAATGGCTGTCTTTTACCCAGCAAAACAAACTCTATTTTCAAAGTTAACAGTTTCCTTAACATTCTTCCCTTCTTTAAACAGTCAAGCTGATTACCCAAACAATGTAGCACAAAAATGAAAATGGTATCTTGGATATTTGGAAAACTTTAGAGTCTAATATACCAATTTGGGTAATTCAAGTTTAAAGAAAAGGAAGAAAAACAAAAAACAAAAAAGTCCTCATGCCTCACTTTAGTATATCATCAATATAAGACATGTTTTACAGGGAGGGGCGCTGAATTACTTAAATTACAGCTATGAAGCATTTGCTCCAGAAGCAGTAATTTTCTCTCATTGCATTTAACAAATGAAGGTGTGATTTCTTGTATGTGTTATGTTTTAAATCTGACCACAACTACCATTGAGAGGAAAAATGAATACTTCTTTCTGAGATAATTATCCCAAATAAGCACTGTCTGGCAAAGTGAATGAGTAGATACTCTGCTTCATTAAAACTAATAATCCTATTCTTTAATAATTATCGATGTGATATTCTTAAAAACCCAAAGACATATTTGGATGCCACATGAACAAAGTTTCATTACATAATATGTACCAAGAGGGCTATAGAAAATATAAAAATGTTTTATTATATAACATAAAATTTGAATTATAAATATATATTTATAAAAGATTATTTTGAGTAAAGTAAGACATGTCCCTCTTTCTTGTCTTTAATGTTATTGTTATTTTAATTACTCATTTACAGGTCTTCTACCATCACAATAATATGCTCATTGGACAAATAGTCAGCATCAAGCAATCATACAAAAGTCTACATAAAGATCAAGTTGAATAAAAACATTAGCAGTTATCAATAACACTGCTCTAAATTTGTGTAATATTTTACTAATGTTTCGGGTTCTTAAAAATGTGGTGGTCTATAAAGTATGTTTCATTATTTTATTATATCTAATAATTACACAATATATCATTCTTAATGTCAAACCTGAAATAATTACAAAGAATACTTTTGAGTAGGATTGATTTTTCATCTTGATAATGACTAAGGCTACCTTTTATTGCAGAATAGTTACATAATTGCTAAGAATTCTTAATGTTTTTTAAAAACTCATACTTTTTAATTTTATGTTATAGTATTATGATATGGCATGTATATCTACAGTGTACATATCTTATTGTAAACTATGTTCTTATTCATAGTTAAATCACAGAAAATAAAAATAATAATAAATAATAATAAACTGTGCTTCCTGATACCTACCAAATATGTTTCCACATTAGGAAGATATGATTTCTTACACTCTTTTATGATGGCATATAAAATAACCACTTCCAAAAATATGAATAATATACATTCTATAATTCATAAAATTTTTACATTATTTGGGAATTATACATTAATGAAAAATTGTATTTTGATTCCTTTATGAAAATAAAAGGAAAAATCCATTTTTATGGAAGATTATCAAGTACTTTTTTTATAATATATGATTCTGTCTCTAGGCATAGCAGTATGTAGTTAATTCATTCATTTTCTACAATATAATGTAACCTTACCTTTAGGATTCTTGATAAATATAAGTCTGTTTGTAGAATTATATAAATTTTTATGCACAATGAAGCATTCTCTCTACTCTTCAGATTTTCAAAGATGTACAGTTTTTTATTACTATAGGATTATAAAATTGATAATCATATTTAATATTTAACAGCATTTATAATAATATTATTACTGTTTCCAGAAAAGTTTTGTAGAAAAAAATATGCAAAGACATTCTGTGGGTCAAATATTGTCACTTACCAGCTCTTCCTGAAGTTGGGAAATGAGTTCATCCCTCTCTTTGAGTTGTAGCTTGAGCATAGAACATTCATCTTTCATTATATCCTATAAAAACATCAAAGAGACAGTAAAATGAGCTTAGCCTTATCACTCTGCTCTCTATAACAAAGTCAGCTTCACATGGTGAGAGATAATTGCAACTGACTAATCAAACTCAACTTTTCTTCTACACTGTGGTAGTTTTCATACTATATTCTAAGCTGCATTCTAAGCTTGCAAAAAACAAGCTAATGCATTCAAAATGTTATTATATATACATGATTTGTGTGTCTGCATAAAAATGTATAAATATATGAAGTTTTTAAAAACTTTTTGATATTCATTTGACATTCATTTTGATATTCATAGCCATTGTGTTGCCTAAGAGAGCAATAAGCAAGTAAACCTTGATTCTTTCCTCTCATTTTTTGCATACATAATCAATGGAATAGAAATTATACTCTAGAAGACATATTTTATCTAATTCTATCTAACATTTGTTCCCCTGCTATCATTAAATATTAATTCTCAAACCAATGGCCTTGGTATAGTCTCATCACCAATGATGGCCCTGTATCATTTGATACTCTTGCTCGGAATCTTAGGGCATTTAATCTTCTCATCCTGCTGGCCGTCTCAGCCATGGCCTCTATGCCCAAAATATATTAACTCCATGGTACTTTATGCTAGAAACTCTCAGATACAACTATTTAACCAAGAATTTTCTGTCTTCTAAGCTGCAGCTCATAAACGCAAGTGGTTCCTGACCAATACTCAGCATTTTTCTACAGACCAGCAGACTCAACATTCAGCTCAGTATCTCTTTCCCTCACCTGAAGACTTCACTTCTGCTTATTTCCTCTATGATCTCTTATAAAATAATAACCAGGAAGTCTCCAATACCATTCATGCTGAATCAGATCTAATATCCAACTCTTTAACCTCTACATCCTTTGTATTTCTTGGACTTGATCCTTCTATTTCCTCTTTGATTTTCTTCAGTAACTCAATGTTACTTATTCAAATTTCTGCAAAAGTTTCTTAATTGGTTTTCAATATTTCTATCCCTATTGCTGTATCTTCCAGAGTGATTTTTCTAAATTGAAATTAATTCTGATCCTTCCTAATTTAACAGGTAATCACTTTTTCAGGACCATATCATATTGTACCCTTTATTACCTGTTACACATTTTAGCAGGTGCAAAGTTTTGTGTCTCCTGTTTCATACATACAAATCTCTGGGTTTCACTGCTTTCCACTTATTATGTCCCTTTATCTCTTACAAAGTCTTACGCTCTGGGATGCATCTCAAGAATTGTCCCTTCTCCAACCAGGAAGGTTTCCCTTAATGGCTGAGTTGTAGTCCTTTGGGTAAGGGGACACTTCATAGCATCTAAACCATACATTATCTCACACAAAACTTCTTGCACTGTTTGCTTGTATCTCAATGTCATTGGACTAGTTTTCCCCCTCCCACTCGTGTATATAGATTTTGTTTCATTACTATACCACTAGTATCAGACATAATAATTGACAAATATAAGATGCTCATTTCATGTTTCCTTTCCATAAAACTGCCAAATCAAACTATAAATATTAGAATACCCATATTCTCTTCCTCTGACAACAAAAGAAAGCATCTAAAGAATCAGAGAAAACAGAATACTTGTCTATTCTCACTCTCATGTTGTTATCAATCTCTACATTGAATGACCCACCAATATACAGCTCTAATTTATTAATGTCTCTTTTCCTTGGTTGATCACCAACCTACTGGGAGATGCTAAATGGCTGTCTGTTCTTTATCTTTTAGTAGTCCTCTTTCTTCCCTAAACCACGACCTTCATGGAAAAAGTTAGTATCTATTATTTTTAAAGCTTATCCTTATAGATTCTAGGTATTATTCTTAATAGCAAAAGATTTAACTTGCTCTATATAGCAAAGGAAAAATTAGCAAATTTAGGAGGCAGGTAAGAAAATAATCATGTATCTCTGGATGAGGGAGATCAAGGATAAAATTGCTGATATCACAAGTAATTGGCCATGTGGCGCTGCACTAATCACTTAACTTCTTTGAGTCCCACAAATATTTCTGGGGAGGCTGATGATGACATCAGACTAGAAACTACATCACAACACAACTACTGTATTTTTTATTCCCAGATTTTTTTTATTTCACTTAAGAAAAGTTAATTCCCTTCATTAAAAAAAAATTGTCATAGTTTGGTTCTCCATGAATTGGCGTTAAAAGTGCAAGAAAATTTTGGAGAAGGGGAAAAAAGAGAAACGTGGGAATGAAGAAGGAGGAACTGAGATTAGATGATGGACAGTATGACCTCATTTATACTGACAAATTCTCTGCTACGTAGCTACACAAGGCTTGCTGAGCAGAGCCAGGAGTGTCTGTTGGGTGAATCACAGGCTGAAGGGGAATTACCAGTGTGCCTGAAGAAGAGCTGGCCTGTAGCCTCCACTACTCTAACTCAGCCACTGCACTGGGCCACCCAGGGAAGAGTGTGCATGTTAGCTACAGAGCAAAGGCAGATCCTGAAGAAGACAGTACGAAGTAGCCAGCTCTGGGCGGTGTGTCCCTCACTGAAGTTGCACCTGGGAGTCAGTCTGTATCCACTGCAATTGTTTTTCTTTAACTGATTATCAACAGTATTTTAATGAATTAAATAACATTTGGTTGGTTGTTAAGTAGGTTAAAATGGAAGATGTGCTAATGTTGTGGCTACTGGGAATTTTAAAGGTAACTTAGTTTCTCAAAAATATGTTCATTTATAAATTTTCAGATTCTATTCCTGAATAAATTTTTCAAGAATTTCATAATCTCATAGCTTTACATTAGGTAGATCCCAATGTAGCATTTACATTTATTTACAGAACCACACATACTAAATAATATTTGCTGTCAAAGGATAATTTAGCAAAGCCTGTACAAATGACTTTGCAAGTCAAATTAGTTATGTAGCAGCACTTTTCTTTCATTTTTATATATACATGTACCAACATTTAAATTGGGATCTAACACGGAAGATGCAAAACTTTTAAAAAGACTCTCAGATAAAAATTGATAGCAATATTCTCACTGTATCTGCAAAACTTTGTAATACAGTTGGCAAGATGATTTATGGAACTTGAAATCGCATAGATGTGCAAAACTGAAAGAATTTTAATATTGTTCTGTTTCAAAGTAACATTATTGCATTGACCTGTAGGCTAATGTAACCACTTTAACTTGTCATTTTTAAAATGCACATTATTCATAGAAAAACATATAAGTTAGTAACAGTGATACCTGGTTTCTCATTCAAGTATAATTAATTATTAGGACAAAAAATTCAGTTCTATTTTTCCTTTGGCAATAATTATGCACAAACAGGGAAGCCAGTGTGGCAGATTAAATCCCGTGTGGTAGATTATTTCTATTGAAAGGTGGAGTTTAATGTTCCTGTCCTTGTGTCCTGTAGTGTTACTGACTTGCAGGTCTAACAGAAGACGATGGAAGTAACTCCATGACTTTCAGGGTTCGGCTACAAAAGGTGTTTCAGCTTCCATGGTGGTCTCTTGGAATGGATCCTCTCAGGTTATTCCTTTGCAGAAAGACCCCAGCAGACATGCTAAGAAGTGCAGACCATGCAGTGTTTCCAGTGACAGCTCCCAAAGAACACCAGTATCAACTGCCAGCTGTGAAGAGGAACCATCTCAGACATCTAGCCCTGGAGAATCTTCGATGAAGTGGCTGCAGCCCCAGCCAGCACCTCACTTTGTCCAAGAAACCCAAGACTACAATTCTCTGGTGCAATCATTTCAGAATTCTTAACTTACAAAATTATAAATACAATAAATACTAGTTTTGAGCCACTAAGTTTTGGAATTATTTGTTATAGAAATCACCAGAACATAACAGACAAACCCCGACTTATTATAACTGGATTTAATATAAATTGTGACATATATGGAAAAATAAACGTGTATTACTAATTTTTTAAACAAACGTGATTTCATCTTTGATTTTGTGATTTAAGCTTGTTATATTTAGAATGATTTTGAAATAGTGCATCTCAAGCAAATCAGGAATATGTATCTTTGTACCACATAAGTTATGAGAAAATCTGAATACAGATTCATAAGTTATTTTATTCCAGTATTCTTATTTTAGAAATTTGGACAGTTAAAGCCAGATACTCAGAAATTTGTATAATTTGTTTGAAATTCAGTTCTCTAATGCTATCCCCATGGATTTTATAATATACTTTTGCCTGTAATTACAATCACCGAATTGTTTCAAACTATAATGTGAGCAGAAACCAACTGTCAAAAAGAAGTGACAGCCCGCTGAAGGCAGACAGGTCTGTGCACAGCCTGCCGAGGTTCTGAGTCGCACAGAACACACCTAATGGGCCCGCTGCAGACAGGCAGGTCTGTGCATGCCCTACTGAGGTCCTGAGTCTCACAAAACATGCCGAATCAGCCTGCTGCACACAGGAAGGTCTGTGCACGCCCGACCAAGGTCCTGAGTCGCATGGAAGACACCGAATCACACCCCTGCAGATAGGCAGCCACCTGGTTCAGAACTACAAAGATGCAGAGGACACCAGACCACCAGACCAAGGTACTGAGTCCTGCTGTTCCTGGCCCACAGGTAGGGCCTTCTGAGCCGTCATCCCACTGACCCTGGTCCAGAGGAAGGGGCTTCCCGGTCACCATCCCTCCTGCTGCTACCAGCCAAGAGGAAAGGGCTTTTGGGCCAGCTTCTGTCCTGCTGCTCCTGGCCCAGAGGAAGGGGCTTCCAGGCCACCATTGCTCCCACTGCTCCCAGCCCACTGGAAAGGGCTTTTGGGTCACCATCCCTACTGATGCTCCTGGCCCCTGTCCCACCTCACCCAGCTCAGAGGAGGCAATCTGTGCAGGTGCTAACAGACCCCGCCCCAGTTGAAATGAGAAAACACGTAAACAAGTCTCAAAACCAGACTTCCAGATCACCTACAGCAACCCCAAAGGGAAATGAGATGGAACACTCT